TTAATAATCGATTCTTGGCATCAAGAATCGATGCAGTAGATCACGAATATTAGAATCACGATGCATCATCATCACGATTATTTTGCACACCCCTAATCACATCCCTGCTCCTAACATCCATGCTGCATAGCATACATCACATCAGGACTCATGTTGTCCCAACAACATACTATATGCATGCATGAGGTCCCCTCTGGGACTCAATGACAACCTTAGCCACATTGCTGGATGATTACACCCCTATAGCAAAGGATGATCAATACTTTTAAACTCTAATAGACTGAAATTGACTTCACCTCCAAGGTTAGTCATTTAGAACCAGAGTGCGGCAGAGTGGGTCGCATTTCCACGGTGTGGATTGGTGTGTGTGTGTGTGTGTGTGTGTGTGTGTGTGTGTGCAGACTGCAGCAGCAGCAGCAGCTGTCCCGCGGCCAGAGCGCCTCTCCTGCTGAGGCGCACAATCCTCATCGATTAACTAACAGTCGCACTGCTCTCTTAAAGTCCGCAAATTAAATGAACAAAACACTGAAACCCACTTTAAATGGAGCGATTAGAGATTAAGGTGAATTTTAGAATAGAATAAAAATAGAAAACGGGAACAAATAAATAAAATAGAATAAAGACATGAAAAGAGCCGCAGCATCCAGGTGTAACAGGGATCCGGAGGCTCACCTCGGTGTGTTGGTAATCCAGGATTACTGGTAATCCAGGATTACTGGTAATCCAGTTTTGGGCTCACTGCTGCAGACACTCTTCCCCGTAAGCAGCCTGCCGGCTGTCAGCGCTTCACTGTCCTGCGTGACCACCGCGACGCATCCACTGAGAGACTCTGTCCCGTCCAGCACCGAGGGGAGGGGGGGCATGACCCTTCAAAATAAAGGCCTGCTCAGACGCTTAAAATACACTATTTTCTTATAAATAAAAACGGTGTTATTTATTATCAGTATTGGACTATTGTTATATAGTATTTTTAGGCAGCATGATTTTGTATTTTCTGACAGTTAAAGCAAGGGCAGGAAAATAGGTTTATTTCATGCATATTAAACTGGATTAGTTATTACACTGACAATCATTTTTTTTTAAGCTTTGGCCACCTAATAAACATCATTTGAATTTCTTTCTTTCTTTCTAAAAAAAAAAAGCCTGTAATCGCCATTCATTCAAAAAAGATCCGGAATTGATGTAAAACTATATTGTTATAAAGGTGTTGAATGGTTAAGAAAAGAAAAAAAATCACTGTAATGCAAAGCAAAAAACAAAAAAACAACTGCATGCAAATAAAGCTTGTTGGACCTTTTCTTTCATGCTTGGTTTAAGGCTTAGGGAGGCTATAACATCATTAAAAACATGGAAATCTACTGACCTGAACATCTTACAGTATTACAGACTTGCTTTATGCAGAATACAGCAGCTGGAGAGCATAATTTCCATTGAAATACAGTGGCCCTTTTAAATCTCACCATGCATGCCTCTGCTGAACCAACTGTTAGCTTTAAAACCTGCTTCCTCTAGTCCTAATGAGAACACAGTCTGCTTTATTTTGAAGGGTTCAAAAGGAAGTTCCTCCTTGGAAGTTTTACAGCCCACACATCCAACCCCTCTTAAGTTTAGGAAGCGTTCATTTATTTAAACTGATAAGGGAGTCATTTACAAGATGCAACAAACAGCCAAGTTTGTAGATATGAACATATAGCTGGATCCATCTGCAGAGCACAGCAGCTTTACAGCGCCATCAAGTGGCCAAACTATGAAAGTACAAATAAGATACAGTTTAAACCGAGGTTGCTTTATTTTTTCCATATCAGTTTTGTTATATTTGCACAATCGATTTATGCATCGGATGTCAAACACCAAAACAAGCTTAAGGGAAGCAGCCTAGAGCTGAAATATTAGAAAACAAACCAGGAAATCAATGTTATTTTAGACAGAGTGGTGTATAAAATGAGTGTCCAGGATTGTTTGGAAAGCTAAGGAGAAGATTAGGCAACAGCTGCATGAATGAAAACTGTTTGACCACAATGATCTAAGAAGAAAACCTGTTTATTCATTCCTCCTTTTCTTTTGGTTTTATCCTAAAATCCTCCATTGTCCAAAATTATAACAACCCATTGAAAGGAATTGAAATTCAGTAACTGGTGTTTACATTTTAATGTGAAAAAAAATATTTATTTGTAGTAACATATTAATATGGGGCATACAATTAGGCCTTGAAATGACATGTTGTGAATTGGCGCTATAGAAATAAACTGAATGGAATTTATTTAAACTGTGTGTCTAAAGCATTGATGGTTCTAGACAGGAGCCAACAGGGGCCACTGCCCCTTTAAATGAGGTGGCCCTTGTTTTGGCCTCTGTAATGAAAACATTATACCAAATCAGTTTCTTTCAGTGCTGGTATTTAGATCTAGAACTAGTCTCAAGAAGCAAATTACACTTAGAAGAAATGTTGAGGGAGAAGAAGCAAACTTCACTGCCTACATTCACAGATGAGTGAATATAACAATGAATAAACTGATGGATGCATAGAACAAGAAAGGTAGTTATGCACTTCTAGCCTTTTAATTTTTTTTTTGCTCGTTAGCATTTAATGCATAATAATAATAGCTCCTCAAAGTCTATGAAAGTTAACAGGATGTCCTAATTATATCATCCCAAACATTGTAAATGTTGATGTTCTCACTGTATTGATCTGCCCTGATAGCTGACCTTAATTGTTCACTTCATTAACCTGCAAAACTCTGCCCGGTTCCTAATCATCGCTCAACTTATCAACCTGCGTCTGTTGCTTTATATTCGACTCAACCAAGCTGATCGTTGTTTGGATGTTTGCTTCGTTAGTTTGAGTTATCCAAAGGTTTATGCCGCCTTTCCCAGAGGCTCATGGGTTGAGAGGGTTTGGTGTTTGTCTTGCCATCTCCTGATTGTGTCCTGGCTTTTTCCAGCTGAGCTCTCTCGGTTCCTGTTTTGGTTCGGTGGGGGGGAGCTAGCTTAAAGTCCCGTAATCCTGGCTCCTAGGTGGAGACCAGTTTAAAGCTCTGCAGTTATTGTGGTACCATGTCTTGTCTCTGTCCCTCAACCACTGAGCATGCCTGTCTGCATCTGTGGGTGTCTGTCTGAGTTTGTTGCTCGACATATGGAACTTTTAACCTGCCTGGGCGTTCTGTGGATTCCTGGAACCATTGATCTGTCTGTTCCTGTGTGGATCGCAACCCCTGACCATGCTGCGGACTCCTGGATTCCAGAACTGTTCCTGTCTGATCTGTTTTACCTGACCTGGATCGCATTCCTGCCTGCTCACTGGTTGCAGCATCGAGGACACTCCGAGCGGCTCTGCACCGCAGTTTGTTTGGCAGTCCATTGGCTGGATCCTGTCCTCCTCAGAGAGGATAGACTGAGCTGCTGTTAAAACAGGTCAACGACTTACACAGATAATCATCTCCCGACAGTTGATCCGGGTCACTTACCTGTGTTTCTACCTCCAGAGTGTGAGTGATTGGGTGATGCCCCGCCTCCCCTCTGCAGCCGCTGCGGTTTGCAGATCCACAGCAGCCCGCTTCTGTTCCGTTTTTTTGGGGTTAATAAACATTTTGAACTTTCCCATTGTCTGTCTCACCTTGAATAATAGGTCCATCTGCCTAATTCTTGACACTCACTTGCGTTTGGTGTTTCACCCATCATGCATGAAACTGTTGCAAATCAAGAGCTCAATTAGTGAAACACTGCTTAAACCCTAGGTGCACTAAGTTGCATTATCACAGATCTTTCCTCCCAGCAGAATCTATATAATCTATATTATTCTTTAATCCATTCTTGTTGACTATAAACTTTTGGTGATACAAAAAAAAATAAATATTTTAAAGGTTTTGCTGTGCTGTATGAGGGCTTAAAAGCAAGGAGGAAAGACAAAACTGGAAAAACTGTGTTGCAGAACATCATTCACCAACCACTAACAAAACCATACATGCAAGTTAGGGTTTGTTATACCTTTTTCAAGCACTATGATGCAAAATTATTAGGGATGCATGATATTGGGATTTTGGCCGATATCCGATATGCCGATATTTTAAAACTCATGTAGCCGATATCCGATATCGATACTGATGTTAAAGCTGGACAAAAATAAGTAGTCATTGAAAATAGCAGTTTTGTTATCCATTTCTGACACTTTGAAAAATAATATACTCAAATATATTTTCATATGCTGATATCAAATTGATTTTTAAAAACGCGGTATCGATCTATTTTACTTTCAAAATCTCGTGAAATTTCATCGTTCTGTTACAAACTCTTGTGATATTTTGCAAATTCTTGTGAGATTTTGTTAGTAAAATAGATCGATACCGCATCAATATATCAACATATAAAAATATGGCAAAATTTCGTGAATTTTTGGGGGATTTCGTAGAACAATGACATATAGCAATATTTCATTTGTAAAAGAGATTGATATGGTGTTTTTAAATGGCAATATTTCAGCATATGAAGATATTGTGATATTTTAATGTATCAATATTTTTCCCTCGTCTTTAGAAGTTTTTAAGTCTGAAAAAAGAAGTTTTTGAGGAAGAAGAAGAAGTAGTATCTTTTTTTTTTTTTACTTTAGAAACTCATAAGCTGATCAAATATCGGATTAAATATCGGTGGGGTGGCCGATGTCCGATATTCAGTTTTAAGGCCGATACCGATAGGGGGCCGATTATATCGTGCATCCCTAAAAATTATGACATAATTCAAACTTATTTGTGTTCACATTAACTATTCAGATAAATTAAGCAAATATTGTTGCAGAAATATTCAACCTTTATTGATACATGATATACAGACATGTCTGTAAAAGAAGCTTTTATTGGTTCTGGGTTTGGACTGTATTCATATCAGACTCATGGATAATATGCTTAAGATTAAAACCCGCAAAAATATTGAACAATAACACCAAACTGTCAGATGGTGTTTATAGAACAGACCGGGAGACAATCGTAGGATTCCTTCATAAGTCTGTTATCCATCCAGGAGTTTTAATTCACTATAATGCAAATGTGCAATAAAATCCATAACCAGTGTCCCTTAAAATAGCAGATATGTAGGTGAAAAGGAATATAAAAATAGCTTGACCTTCCGCCGTTTTGAGGGAAAGATATACAGGAGCAACTCAATAAATTAAATATCTGTACTGTGTCAGCCAGAACATGAACATAACAGCATTTCTGTAATGAAATCAGTAGAAATCTGATACGTATCATCGATTTACAGAGAAAAAAAGAAAATGAATGATTCTGTATTTGCTGTAAATATAAGAATAGATTTCTGTTTGTTTTTCAAACTGTTCACAGTTTACATCAAATGTGACCCTAAACCTCAAGCGTATAATTCAGAACTCCTTCATTTACATTCAGTATAATGTCAAGTAAACAAAAACAAACAGAAAAACATAATTAGTAAAACATTTTTTTCTAGACTATCAACACTAAAACACCTTATATCCTAAAATACACACAATCTTTGCTGGAATACAATACACCTTCTTTTTAACATTAATTATACATTTTACCAGATATCTCGATGTTTACTCTAATCAGATCAAAGGTTTTTGTTTTCCATAAACTCAAAGGAAACATCATATCACATTCCTCTATGCAAATCAAATCCTCAATAAATTCGAGTGGAGTCCTGGAGAGGAAATCAATGTCTAAGGCAGACAAACTGTTAAATCCAGATGGCAGACAGAAGCACAAACCACCCTGAAACATGTACAGTACTGGTAGGTCGACTATGACGGGACAGGAGCGGTTATCATCACCGCAGGCGGCGGGGAATGGGAGGCGCAAATTCTGTTTGTCTGGGAGCGGGTCTCTGGGGAAGAGCTCGTGACGGGCAGGATATGTAGCGCTCATTCACCTTCTCTGGCACCCTACAGGAAAAACAAAAACAGTCACTGTTATGAAAGGTTATCAGCTCGGAAACACAAGATTGCAGTAAACCATAACCTTCAGCTTCAAGAAGAAGCTACTGTATAGCTCACATATGCGGAATCTGAGCATCATCTCTAAAGGTATAAAAATATAAAACCAAGGCAGACATGTTTGTTGATCAGCGGTGTGCTACCAGCGTTCATCAGACATCAGATAAGATGTTTCAAATCTTTGTGGGGCTTCAGCTTGTAAACCCGCTTAATGTGGTTGTTTTTCTATTTTTTTTTTGGTTTATTTATGGCACCTAGCATGATTATTTACTCAGTCTGAAATCTGCCTTTGACTTCTGGAAATAAAAAAAAAAAATAATTTTATTTCAACAATGAATGCTTCACCTTTTAAATCATATTTTGAGCATAAATTTAATGTTTTTAGATCCATACTTTAGCAGAGGTGTAAAAAGTATTAGTTTAGCAATTAATCTCACATTGGAGAAATTTACCTCTGCATTTAACCCACCCCAGGCTGCTCAGTGAGACAGTGGGTAGCACTGCTGCCTTGCAGCAAGAAGGTTCTGGGTTCGATATGCAGGGTCTTTCTGCATGGAGTTTGCATGTTCTCCCTGAGCATGTGTGGCTTCCTCCTACAGTCCAAAAACATGACTGTTAGGTTCATTGGCTTCTCTAAATTCTCCATAGATGTGGCTGTTTGTCCTGTTTGTCTCTGTGTTGCCCTGCGATGGACTGACGACCTGTAGAGGGTGGACCCCCGCCTCTCGCCCATTGACAGCTGGAGATAGGCGCCAGCACCCCTTGCGACCCCACTTGGGATTAAGCGTGTTAGAAGATGGATGGATGGATGGATTTAACCCATCCCCTTGGGGGAGCAGTGGGCTGCCATTATATGGCACCCTGGGAGCAGTGTGGGGTTAAGAGTCTTGCTCAGGGACCCAGAGTGGAGGCTGGGTTCTTGCAACCTTCTCAGAGCACAAGCTAACCACTAATGTTTATTACTCAAGGGAAGAATAAATCCTGCTGTTTGAAAACACTTTTGTAGAACCTTAGTAAAAAGTCTATGGAAACCGCGGGAGACCAAACCAGATGAAAGTGCGCATTCAGCTCGGCAAAGAACTCATGCTCTTCCTCAACACTGAAGTCCTCAGACATTTTTCTTTCGTTGTTTCTTTCTTTGCACAGGTAAACAGCACATTTCTTCTTCTACGCTTGCATTATTGGCAGAGCAGACGCTGAATGCGCACTTTCATCTGGTTTGGTCTGCCGCGGTTTCCGTAGACTCGTGAACGCGCTTTTAGGAAATCCTATACACTACTGTTTATGCTCTAAAAACATTCTAAATGACTTCGTTTCGAGTAAATTCTGGATGCTACCCACTCAGGACACTTGGAATACATTGGACGAGCAGTATGGAGGAATATTGACACGTTTTTTGTGGACTTTTATGGACCTTTCTGCCTCGGGCGCCATAGACCTCCATTATTTGCAGCAGACAGCAAGAAGCCTCCCAGATCTCCAGATGCATTTGAGATATCAAAAAAGTACTCCAGAGTGTTGTTCAGCATGGGGGTGAGTAGAAAATGAAGGCTAATCATGTTTTGGGTGTACTATTCCTTTAAGGACAGATGCTTCACTGCGTTACCCTATTAAAGGAACATGTTTGTAATTTCCTTAGTTTTATAAATACTTCAATGGCAACAGTAACAAATTTTAAATTGCATCATCCTGAAAAAAACATTTATTCTGGCATGTAGTAAACAACATGTTGGTGCAGCACCAAGTCCAACCACAAAGAAATTAATTGTCTGGATAAAACAAATCATTTTGATGGCTTTTATTTATTTTTTTTAATAGTGTGTCTATTTTTAAAATGTAAGGAGTAGAAGTTACACTTGTTATGCACTTTCACTAAGGTGTGTTTGCAGAAACAAAGCATAAATCTACTAAATGTAGGTTGTAGCATGATTTTTTACCAGATGTTTCTTCCTCTCAGCTGATTGGTTAGTAGTTTTTTTTTCATTGCTTCTGAAAAGCCTCAAACTGTAGAAAACTGGAAATATTTCACTTTTATAAGTGTTAATTTATTTTCTAAGAAAGGACTTTCCAGCTTTACCAGGGATCGTTAAAGGGGTGGTGGTTGCGAGAAACGAGGCCCGCAGCATTAACCCGCCATCAACGTGTTTCCCAGTTCGGTTGTTTACTTAAATTCTATTAAATTTTTTTGAGCATTTTGAACCAAAATTTTAAGCTTAGGTTCTATAAAACTGGAAGGCACTTCTCTTCAAGGTTATGGGAGATTTTAGCGACACTTGGACGCATGTGTTAGTAGATTGAATGAGATGCACTATAGACTGGGAACTCCAGAAGAGTGAACACCCACACTGATTTAAAAGTTGCTTTAAATAAGTTTTTGCACATTTGCTTATGGAAATGCTTTTAAAAAAACCTTCCTTCTTCCTTTTTTTATTTTTACCCTAACAGATTTGTTTGTCTTTTAGCTGAACTGTGCAGGATATACACGCATGTTACACTAAAAATGAAAGAGGAAGGATTTACTGTTTGATGGTTGCATTTGTTACACGCTAGAAACCAAAGGATTTATCCAATTAATAATGGATAAATGCTTTAAAAGATAAAAAAAAAAAAAAAAATGCTGTAAAGGTTGAAGGGAGGCAGCATCAGAAAACATCTTCCCATATTTTGGAGACATCCTAGAATTTAATAATTAAGGATTAAAGTTTCACATGACTTAGAGTACATCAGGGTATTCTTCTGGGCAATTTAAAACGAAGTGCTAAACTTTCAAAAAAACGATCACCATTAAAAGACTGACCTAGCAAACACTTGAGTACTGGGCTGAAACTGTAATGAAATCTAGAAAGGCTAAAAAAAACCTTCTGACTGTCATGATTCTACCCTTTCTGGACTTTTTAGTTTGGTTTAACTTTTCTTTCTTCAGTTACACTCTGATTTGTGTAATTTTCTGTTTTATGGATCATTGGTTTAATTTCCATTTTGTGCTATTCTAGTTGTTTTGTAGTTCTGTTTAAACAGCACTGTATGTTTTTTTAGTTTCTCTGCGTTTCCCCTTGTTCCAGTCTCCTTTCACCTTAGCTCCCTTCTAATTGCTTCTATCCACACCTGCTCCCTATTAGCTGATTAGCTTATTCTTTGCTCCATCTCCCATATAAACACCCCAGTATCTCCTAGTTTTTGGTCCTTGTGTTTCTTGTTGATCAGCTCTGGATTATGGCCTCTGTATTTTTACTTCTACATTAATCCTGACCCTGAGGCTTAAAAATGAGGTGAACATTTTAAGATATAATAAATCCTGTGGTATAACCCACAGAATTCTACGGAAGAGGATTAGGGCCAGTGGAAAAAAAAAAAAAAAAGTTAACTGATTTTTACATTTTATTTCAGTTTAGTATGGGAAAAAAGTCAGAATTCTGACTTTAATCTCAGAATTCTGACTGAATTCTGACAATAAAAAAGTCAGAATTCTGAGAAAAAAGTCAGAATTCAGAATTTTTCCCATGTTAAACTGAAATAAAATTTAAAAATCAGTTAACTTTTTTTTTTTTCAGTGGCCCTAATCCTCTTCCGTACAATTCTCACATTAAATGTTGTTTTGTTTATATTTCTTCCTTTGCAATGTCTCTCACCATTGGTTTAACATTTATACCCTGTATTTTCCTCCGTATCCAGTTTATTTTCTAAGTGACTCACAGGTTTTCCAAAAAAAGACAGGAAAAAGTTGTAGCTGAATTAATAGTTTTACCTTAACACAAGTAAGTTGAATCTTCGTAGACAAATGTCATGTACCTAACTATTGCTGTGCTTCCTTATCTTTAATCTCACAGAAACTGTAAACAAATCAAACGCTTTGTGCTGAACCACATTATTCAATGTACGCTGCACTTTTCCATGCCGTGTTTACACACTTAACAAACCGCACAGGCCTATTTTCAACCGTTTTGTCATCTTAGACAATAGCAACAAAAAACAGAACACAAAATGCTAATGCTTCACCTCACAGTACTAAAAAAAATCTAAAAAACTTGTCGATAAGATCTTTCAGTTCCAAGAAGCTCGGATGAATAAACCCCCCCAGATACATCAACTCCAATATCAAAGGAGATCTGAGACTTTCAGGCTTAGAAAGCAGAGGCGTGTAACTTTTTTCAACATGACATTTAATGTCAGCCGGTCCTAAATCCTCTTTCTGTATCCCCTGCTCTCATTAATAAAATCTGGGGGAATTTACTGTTAGCAATAAAGGTCGTAGAGTACATGCATTTCAGATGTAATCACATCTTTAAAAAAACAAAACAGACGGGTGGTTTTCTCTTTATGATTTAACATCAAATCTGTGTTTGATTAACGAAGTATATAAACTGTTTCTAAAGGTTAAAGTAGATCCAGCCTTTAAATCACTGGGAAAATTATTCAGAAATAAGTAAAAAGTTCTTAAATTAAGGTTATTTACCCTTAATTTAAATAAATAAATGATATAGTTTGTCAATGGAATGAGAATTTTTAATCTTAAAATAAAATAATTAGATAATATGCACTTGAAATAAGACAATGCAGTTGTTTTTTCTTATTTTAAATGTAAATTGTCTTGTTCTGTTGGCAAAATGTATCTTTTACCTCCTCAATCCAAGAACAAATGCACTTATTTTAAGAAAAAATTACTTATTTAGATTTGATTTTTTTTCCAGTGAACTCAAGGAGTTCAGGGATGATGAATGACAGTTTTTAGAGCTCGTTCTCAAAGCAGGATTCTAGTGTAGATATTCATAATTCTGCAGAACGTGAACCTCCACGCCTCTCTGTCCCTTTCTCACTCTTCCTCTCCAACTCACAGCTGCAGACTCACTGAAGGGTGAATGCTTCCTCTTTACCACTCCCCGTGTCACTCACTACTACCGCTTAGCTATTTCCCTCTGTCCCCAGTGTCGACTTTTTGGCGACGTTGATATTGAAACAATAATTACGCTGACCTTTCTGGGATCCGTGGAGGAATCCTGGGTGGAGGGATGCTGGGCAACGGGTCGGAAGGTCGTGGAGGTCGTGGTGGAGGAGGCAGAATTTCTACAGCGTCCTGTAAAGATAAAACAGAAGAAAAAAAGAATAGGAGTTTTAT